GTACGACACGGACAAGCGACACAAAAATGACGGAAAATTTCAAGAACAAACACAGCTATGTTAAATCCGCTAAAAAAAATAAAACATATCAGGCTTTTTTTTTGTTATTGTGTGTTTAATACTGGAAACCGCGCGCTGCCAGCTGCTGCCGGCCATGTGGAGAAAGAGAGAGAGAGAGAGAGAAAAGGCTAGGAGATATGGAAAGGGAACTGGGGGGGGGGGGGGGGGTCAATAAAGCCGTCCTTGAGGAACTTAGCCTCGAGCGCCTGAGCCCCGGCGGGATATGCGAGGTCCCACGTGAAGAGAGGAAAGAACGCAGGGAGAGATGTTTGTGTTGGGGGCCTCGACATTGTCGCGACTCGTATTCCGGCTCGCACGACTATTCGCACGTTTCCCGATGACAGACACACAGGTGTCTGGAGAGATCGGTGCGATGTCTCGATCCGGTGTTAGCAAAAGCAATCGTTAAAAAAAGAAAATTGAGATAACTACACTGCCGGAACCCAAGAAATGTCCTCAAATGTTAACCGAACATATTTCGTAAACAACATATGCTTCTTTTGCGGGCAATGGGGTATCTACACGAAGAAGAAATCCTCCACTTTCCTCCGCAGATTGCGCATCACGTGAGACATACGTCATACCTTTTTGAAGCCTCGAGGTGCCGTTCTCTTCCGTGCTGGAGGCGCGGAGGCTTCGTTCTGTCAGCACAGCACGAAGGTTCTGCAGGTGGGCGGCGGAGCCGAAGACGGATTTTCCCGGGTTGTTGACGTCACGACATCCGTCCGCGGAGTTGTTCTTCGTGTGGATACCCCATAATCACCATGGAATGGTGGGACCCTCGGATCCGCCCATTGATCCGGAAAGCCGCCATGTTTTGGGAGGGCGATGATGTATGCGCGCCTTTGTCTCTCCGATGAGATTTTGGCGGGCATTTTCGGCATTTTGAATGGCATACAAAGCACGCCGAGCACTATACTCCGTTTCGCTCGAAGTCCGACCGGAGAAGATACTACGACCTGGAGGAGACAATCAAACAGCGTCAAAAGTGCATGGTCATGGCACTCGTGAAAACTCGGGGAAAAAATACTAATGATCACGGCACACTTACAGCGCGTGATTAGTGTAGTTGGTAATAGCAAACGCACAAAAAACAACTAGCTCCGTGAAGATGCACTTTAGGCGGTACTCGATTGGTCTGATGGTAACGTCAACTGCGGTCGGAGTTCAACGGAGGAGTCTGGCACGTGGTTGATACGCGGTTTTGCTGTCGTGGAGGTGCACGGAGGACGCGTCTTCAAATATACTGGCCGAGGCGTCCTGGCCTCTCGAGATATTCGATAGAGCCCCAGAGGCCATAGGGTTGCTTCCTCGTTGCAGCTCAAGAGCCGCCTGGCGGACGTCAAGTCAGACCAGCACACGGACTCTTTCCTGCTTCGCTGGCTCCGAGGTGAGCCAAGATTCCGGCCAACTTCCGCGCCTTAACAAACCACCTGTCAAAAAAAAAAAAAAAAAAAAAAAAAAAAAAAAATAATAATAATAATAAAGTGTTTGCCCTTTACGGGTTTTTACACTCGTTTTAATCCCAACGACGGTCGTTTTATTCCGAGTGCCATTCAATTTAATCCCAGCGGAACCCAATTTAATTCCGGGGTCAGTCGATTTAATCCACAATATATACGTGGGCTTATTTGCTTTCGGTGGTCGTGTTTCGCCTGCACTTTTGATAATTTAGAGTAATTGTTTATACATTTAGATTTTGTTGGGGACAACTGATAACTTGATCTCTATTTCCATCACTTGGACTTACTAGCGCGCAATCGATGAGGCTTAATTGACACGTTGAGCACTCTTTTGGTAATCTCGAGTTAGTAGTGGCGCACTCCATGTTCTTTGAGCTGAGTTGACGTTTTTTTCTCTCATATTTTTTACACTTATTATAGGTACAATGAAGATGATATAGGTGCGATGACAATTTGTGATTACTATTTTGATTACTTCGCGCTATTATTGCCATATCTTACTCTACTTAAATTTTAGTTGATGATGGCTTGTACTTCAAATTACTTCGACTTATTAATAACAAAATTTACATAATAAAAGTTAGCCAACATTTTTGAATACCCTCTCGATTGCATCGATGAATTATTAACACAAATATAACTTGGGAGAAGCTCATTTGACCCTCTGATTATTTTCTGGTTATATAGCTCTTATTGACATGAATAATGTTATAGATTCAAGATTTTAATGACTCAGTCGATTACTTTGAATTATTTTTGTTCAGCGCGACTACATAAAAGCTCAGCTAAGATTTTGATTAATAAATTCTTTGATAACTCTGTGTTTTTATTCACCCAAGTGACTTTAAATTAACTAAATTAACTTAGGGGTCCCTTTTTACCTTTCCCCGATACATTAGTCGCACAACTGAGTTTATATCAGCGTTATTGACATCTACATTACTTTTAGTAACTCTGACCTATTTGACTTTATATTGGTCTAATTGACATAACACTCACTCTCATTATTATTGAGTTTTTATACAACCAAGTGATTTATTCTCGGTTCAGTTACCATTATTGGTTGAATAGTTACAAGTAATCAGAAAGAGTCATCACAATATCATTCACACCGAATTAAAGTTCATTGGGTCAAAAGCAATTATAAGTAACTAAAACTGTAAACTAATGATGTGATTTGAGCTCATAATATATCAATGTGTGGTAAATTAACTTGAAGTAATGAACAGTGTCACAAAAATGTAAATTATGCCGAATTAAAGTCAATTGGGTCAATAGTAACTTACAGTAATCAAAAGAGTAATCATCATGCCTATTAGACTTATAATAAATCAATTGATTGAATATTTCCTCAAAGTAATAAAAACGTCATCACAATCGCAATGAGGCCGAATTAAAGTCAATTGTGTCAAAATAACTCAAAGTAATCAAATAAAAGAGTAATAGAGAGAGTAAGTAGTAACTCAACGTAATCAAGAGGTAATTATAGCGGTTGAATATTAGCTCCAAATATAAAAAATAGTCCTCGTAATGATTAGGCCAAATTAAAGTCCTTCTGGGCAAAAGTAACTCGGAGTAGTCTGAAAAGTAATAATAACGTGAATTAGGCTCATAATAAATAAACTGGTTTTATAATAACTCGAAGTAATCAAGAGATACCAAAATGTAAATTAGGCTGACATAAAGTCTATTGAGTAAAAAGTTACTCGAAGTAACCAAAGTAGTAATCATAACATTATTAGAGCTCGTAACAAATAAATTGGTTGAATACTTGCTCAAAGTAATCACATAGTCATCAATATGTCAATTAGGCCGACTTAAAGCCCATTGGGTCAATATAGTAAATCGTAATTAATAGTAATTTAGTGTGACTTCTTATAATAAATCAGTTAGTTGAATATTAGCTCAAAGTAATCACAGAATTAATCATGATGTCAATTAGGCCGAATCAAACTCCATTGGGTTAATAGTAGATGTAGTCAAAAGAGAGATCACAATGCTAACTGAGATCAGAAATCACTTGGTTGTATAAAAACTTAATCATAAAAGCAGAGTGCATAGCATGTCAATTAGACAAATATAATGTCAAATGGGTCACGTAACTCGAAGTAATCAAAATACTAATAATGCTTATATAACTTTAGTTGTGTGACTAATATATCACGGTAAGATAAACAAGTAACTGCTAAGTTAATTGAGTTCATTTAAATTCAATTGTGTGAATAGTAATATGAATTAATCGATAGTTATTCAAATCTTAGCTGAACTTCTATAAAGTCGGATTTGTCAATATTAATGCAAAGTAATAAACTGAGGAACAAAAATTTCGCTTCTATGATGCCATTTGCGCCGGTAATAGCTATATAACCAAAAAGTAATCAAAGTAATAGGGAGGTCAAATGAGGTTCTACCAAGTTATATTTTTGTCTATAATTCCTCAAAGTAATCGAGAGAGTAATACAATGTTCGTCGAACTACTTTATGCAAATTGTGTTGTTAACAGGTGGAAGTAATTAGAAGTGGAAGCACTTTCAAATGAGCTGTGTCAATAGTAGTGCGATGTAATCAAAACAGTGATCACAAACAATTCTCTTATATCATCTGCATTGTATCAATAAAAATCATTAAAGAGGGTTCATTTGTGGATCGTTAGGGAATGCATTAGCATGACTCTTGGGAAACGCTAACGCTGACCCTTCACTTTTCTGCCTCTCTCTTTTGCTTCCTCTATTTTTCGCTGCCTCTTTTTGGCTCGTTACGGACTCCTTGTGAGCGTTTTCCAATGGGGGACGCGTGGGGCGTTTCCCAAGGATCATGCTAACGCATTCTTTAAGGATCCACCAAGAGATCTTCCTTTATTTTTTTTTTTGCCGTTTACTAGGACCAGCACTAGTACTTGGTTCTCACTCCATTTTGTAGCCCAAACCAAGGCATGCGCGCTCCGCACACCTGCAAGCTGAGACTCGCCCCAGCATCCGCGCTCCCATTGGCTTCCGCCCCGTGACGTCACCTCCCCCTCGCCCTTGTCCTTCGCTACTTTCCTTCTCTCTACTCAACGCGCTTCCCTTTCCTCTATGCGCTCCACAGACGGACGCCTCAGCTTTTCCCTGTCATGTGGGTACTAATGCTAACGCTTTAATAAGTCGAAGTAATAAAAAAAAACATGAACAAAACATCAATTGAACTAAAATAAAGTTTAGTTCGCCACTAATAACTCGAGGTTACCAAAAGAATAATCTTCGTGTCAATCAGGCCTCGTAAATCATGCGACTAGTCACTAGTAAGTCGAAGTGATGGGAATAATGATCAGGATATCAGTTGTTCCCAAGAAAATCTAATTGTGTAAATAATTACTCCAAGTTATCAAAAGTGTAAGCGAAGCACGAACACTGAAGACAAATATTTGCTAACACCGCGGCTTGGAGGCATTTCGTTGCACAGTTATTTAAACCCCTTTTTCGGTCTTTTTACAGCACGGGAATTTGATGTCAACAAGGCGGAAAAAATGCTGCGGGAGGTACGTACTTCTAGGTCTATCGACCTACTGCCCCGTATTTTATTGGGGTTTTGAGCAGGCCACCAATAGATGCTTGTGTATCTATCGGTGGCCTGCTAGAAACCCAGGCGGTCTGTACCGACAAGAATTGTACATGTGGCGCACTCCCCGCCACATGTACAACAACTCTTGTCCATGTTGAATTAACCTGAGACGTTGTTTCCTTGTTATGTTTTGCCTTTTTTTTTATTTGTGCGAGCGTTTTATCATAGTGTGTTAATGGGGCTAATACGGGTCGTCTAAAAGCCGTTTCCTGCTTTCCCTATTACCTAGAAAGATTTTGTATGTCACCTTCTCCATTACATTAATCTGAAGGGAGCAATAAACGCTCTTATTTATTTGCGGGCTACATGATCGCCGGTTTTCCATATAGATGGTCCTCGTTTACGCGGCGAAGCGTCCGCTTCAAAGTATTCTCTATTCCCATCGGAATTATTTACTGAACTTAAACAAATTCTATAAGCCAAAGGCAGGGGCGGTCAGGTAGCAATTACTTCATAATGGCTGTTAAAGACCCCAGGTCAGCCGTCGTACTGGCTAAAATGCATTTTGGCAGCTTTGAATTTCTATTCCAAAAAGTCAAATTAAGATCGACTTCTAATGATATAAAATAACAAAATGTGCAATTTGCTTTGTCAAATTGATTTTCAATTTTCGTCTTACTAGGGTCGGTAACGAGGGAAAAAGATATCAATGAGAGACATTTTGAAGAGAAATTATTTTCGAATAAAGACTAAAACAGCAAAACAAAACATAAAAATGGAAGGTGATATTGACTGATTAAGAATTACAACGGCATTCTATAATAGCCACCCAAAAAAGGCTATACATATGGGTCAAGCTTGACGTTGGATTTGTTTTGGAATGGTTGCAGGACATGAAATGGCGGGTAGATAGAAACATCGGATCCATCACGAAGACGTACAAGAGTTCGGAAGTAAGTTGCCGTTTTCTGGATGCTTGGGTTGACATCGAAGACCATTGAAATGAACCTGCAATTCTAGCCCTCCTAATTCAGTTGAGATGAGCAGTTAGACAGCGCACTTACTAAAATATTAAAAATAAAAATGTACTGCAGGAAAAGGCGCCATTTTGCGTGGTTGGTTTCGAAGATACAGGAGATGACCTATGGCAGAAGTTTCAAACTGATTGGAGCTTGGGGGCCAAATTTATGACTCCTGAAAAGTCAAGGGCCAGCGTACAGAGGGAAGGAGGGGGATATTTTAGGGAAAAGAAAAATAGCTCTGGATGTCCACGCTGCGGAGCAGCTTTGTTTATCAGAACTCCTAAAACATCGACTTCGTACTCTAGGGTGCTTGTAAACTCGATTTTGGCACTGACATCTTTAGCCTTGAATACTTCTAGCTGCTCTGGATAAATACTAGGGCTGGGCGTCGGATAAAAGTTTGAATACGATAAATCGCCACAATTTAATCGATTCATTAATTGATTAATAAGTCTCGTTTATTTTTAAAAATAATATTAAAAAAGTCAAGATATTTTTTTTATTTTTTAGCCTTTACTGAATATGTAGTAAGCGTCACAATATACAACTTCGATAATGAATAATTCTCGATGTGCAGTTAAAACAGTTCAAAGACACTCACAGATTATTACTTCGGCTGCATGAGGCAAAGAGGTTCTTTGATATTCTCCGGAAAGAGCGACCTCCCCTGATTGTCCACAATAGTCGGCTGCGCTAAACGAACACTCCATCGGGGTTGAAGTGGCCGGGACAGATGTAAACTTCTGCACTTGTCTGTAGTTACATAATTTCGCCCCTACAGTTTACTCTGTTCTGATATTTGACCTCAAGTTTGCCCTTCGTACAGGTTTACTCGTCCACGTCTGCGTGGCGAAAGGGTTCAACTTTTATGTTCGTTCGTTTCGTTAACAATTTACCGATCAAGCGGTTAAAACATTTAATCGCGATTGACGCATTAATTGGTTAATCAATGAAATAATCGATCAATAGACCAGGGGGGCTAAGCTCGCCTCCGGCGGGAATCTCTCCGATGCCACGTCACGAGGGAGGGGAGGAGCTTCTTTTGACTCCGCCCCGGCGAGTTTCCCACTTCCCCTCTTACATTTCCGACGCCCCCCCCCCCCCCCCCCCCCCCCCCCCCGGCGGCGGCGAGTTCCCCAGCGTAGCTCCGATTTCTCCCTACGCTCCCCAGTGAAGGGTTTTTATTTTATTTAAATCTGGAGATCGGTGGCCGGCTGGCCTAGCGCACACCAGCTCGGAGCACGTCGAGCGAAAGGTCCGTTGCAGAACCCAGGATCCTGGGTTCAATCCCCACCCCCGCCCCTTTCGATCTGGATGAGCATCGTACCGGTGTGCAGTCGTGTATCACTACTGCGGGATGGACGTTAAAGACCCCAAGCTAGCGGTTGTACGGCACTGGTTAAATTTCTCATCTACAGCTGGGAGAATCGTCCCCGTTGAGGCAGACCAAGTTTTAGGCAGTATTAACATACATACAGCCCATTTTTTTTATTTAAATCGTAAATGACAAATAAGAATAGGTAACAGCAGGGATGCTAATTATACAAACATTGCTTGGATATGGCATATGGGCTAGTTGACTATACATTGTGGTTATTCGCTGCGCTACGTAGATGCAAGAAAAACGCTCTTGATATTGATTGAAACTAAAGGGGAGAATCGACGAAAAACAACATACAGAAATGGCGCAGACTAACAACTGTAATTTATTTCTCATCTTTCTCCCCCCACACCGCCATACAATCACAATATGTTTTTCTTTTTTTTTCAAAATAGGGTGCACGTGGAGCGAAAGCTCGCGCTGCAGAACCCAGGATTGTGGATTCATCCCCACCCCTGCCCGTGTCGATCTGGATAAGCATCGTACCGGCATGCGGTTGTGTATCACTATACTGCGTGGTGCACGTTAAAGACCCTACGCTTGCAGTCATACTGCACTGGCTAAATTGCTTATCTACAGTAGGTAACAATGACGCAATGTTCTGGCATGTTCTCCTGCTGTATAAACAACTAACGGCCAATTTGTTTGTCAAAATACGGTGTGGAGGGAGAAAGATGAGAAAGAAATTACACAGTTGTTAGTCTACGCCGTTCATGTACATTGCTTGTCTTCTATCATCTGTTTTAGTTTCAATTTTATCAAGCGCGTTTATCTTGCATCTACGCAGCGCAGCAACCCATCAAAATAATTGTAAAAGCCTGTAGGCAGGGATGGGCAGTATTTCAAATACAAGTGTTTGAAATACGTATTAAAAATACTTTGTGTATTTTGGATTTGTATTTAATTACAAATTGGGTAATGTATTTGACGTGTGTATTTAAGTACTAAAACGTGGGTATTTCAAGTACATTTGTAATTAAATACAATTTTGTGAGCGAAAATACATTCTCAAATTTATTGTCACTGTCCAGAGTAGGAAGAAAACTACGTTCTGCACTGAATGTAGTGTCTCTCAATCAAGCACAAGCGTTTAGTGACTTTGTGATTACGGTGCTAGTTTAGGGCAAGAATAGTGACGAAATCGACGTTCACAGGCAGACTGGCTAAATAAGTTCCTGTGACAACTTGTGATGCTTTCCAGCCTGATTTCCATCCATATTTTTGCCTGGAACATTCTAAGTGCGCGGGTCGTCCAGATTTTTGTAACTGGTGCGAGTTGCAACAATAAAAAATTCTCTAGCTAGTGCTGCGCGTCTTGGTCGTCTCGGTTCTTTGTTGGTCTATACCAAAATGTAATCGACAAAAAAAGCTGCTTGAAGTTCTGTACTTTTTTTTCACCTATTACGTCCATGCTGATTACATTTGTTTTTTTGTGATTATATTTCTATTACGGTACTAGAGCCTCGCACACTAACTCCCGAGTGTGCGATGCAAAAGTAAAATGAGATACCCAGAAACCCGTTGCAGGTGCCCTGAAGTCGCTGACGCAAATTTTGAGGAATGTATTTGGAAAAGTATTTGGAGGAGACCAAATACATTTGGTTGTATTTGTATCTTGTATTTAAATGCTTTTTTGGAAATGTAATTAGATTTGTAATTAAATACTTTTTTGACGAAGTATTTTGTATTTGTATTTCGATACATATTTGCATGTATTTTGCCCATCCCTGCCTGTAGGTAATGATAAATTGCGTTCCTGGCTGCAGATTGCCGTAAAAACACACTTGTTTCTAGGATTCACTTTGTAGAATTTGTATGTACGATTCACGACGGGACGACGGTTCATTCACGGCTCCGTCGCCTCAAGCCCGGTTCGCCACGCAGTTCATCGTACAGCCACCGTGCCACGTCTTCCGAGAGGCGATAGTGTTGTTGAAAATCAACGTCGTCCCTGTCAAACACATTGGCGTGGCTTAAATAGCTACGCCGACGGCAAAGCACGGACAAATACGCTGCCAGTTTGGACGCTTCTCCCTGATCTCGCGCCCAACTCGCCCAAACTAGCCTAGGTCGGAGCCGGCAAGCTTTTCCCATCCGCGACGGCTTCTGCCACGTCACAATGACGTCACCGCATCTCGCCGAGAGTTCCGAATATGCAACTCTCCGACCGCCTCAAACCCTCCGTTCAACGTCACGATCTAGGGAGTGTCTGCGCGTGTCGTCATGCACGGCGCCGACCAATCGCGGCGGTCGGCGAGTTTGGCGGAGAACTCGCCTCGATCTCGCCGCACCGAGCTTAGCCCCCCAGCCCTCAAAATACCTGATGGGGCAAGAAAATGACAAGTGGCGCCGCCCCGAGAATGTGCTGGCTTTTTTCAATTGAACTTGAGGACATACCGTCGTTGCCCTGCCATTCGACTCGCTCAAAAATTAGCTAAGCTCGACGTCATAAAAAAAAGAGAGAAAAAAGAAAGCTTTATGCGTCAGTTTTTGCTATCTTGGCGATTTTTATAGTAGCATTATAAAAAGTAAGGCTTAGATTGGAGTGTTCTTTTCTGCCCGCCCATTGATCATTTTAACTTACAAAATGCAACAGCGAAGGTCAAAAGCTTTGACAGTTAATGATGTTACGTAAAAGTTTATGCATCCGATCAGTGTTCCTTAAGGAAAAGGCCCGTGCTTGTAGCCTTGTAATGGGATCGTCGTACAGGTGATTAAAACAAGAAATAGTTGGGAAGAAAACTGGAAACGAAACAACACTTGGAGGAAAGGATGGAACCGACAACACGAGACTCTTATGGTGCAAGCCATTCGCCGTACTCGGACATCTGAACGGGGCTGCGCAAGATGTTTGCGGTCCGCGTTCCAGTCAGTTGTGGGCCGCGTGTTTGAGACCTCTGACCAAAGGTATTGGAAAGAAATCAGAGGAATCTTTGTATGTGATTCAAGAAACAAGTCATTTGATGGGTTATAAAGTTTTGCCTGAAAAGAGCAAGCGACATTTTCATTTTCGACATAAACTTGCAGGAGAAAAGGTTTCTTGAGACAGCTAATATGTCTGGCTACCCTTGGCTGAGTGTGGTTAGGTCGAGACATGACTATGAGTTACAGATGACGCCATTCCCGACGGCTTCGGTAACTCACGACCTTTTTCGACCTAAGCCCCCGCTACGTGTCCACACGCCATACCGTGGATTAATCTCAAATCGCTCGATCGGGGAACTCCTAGGACGGAACTTTTGGTTATTGCCCCTCACTCATATATGGTAAAGGTAGCAAAGAAAATAGAGAGTTTTTGTAGATCGTTTTCGCTGTCCCGCAGCGCTCTCCGCAACTCGCTACGAAACCCGGAACTCTACAGTCAAGGCTATCGGCGCGCAGGCGCAGTAGCGGCCTCTTCGTTGCGGAGGGCTTAGCGGAGGAGGAAACGCGGTCTACGAAAACTCCCTAATAACCTTAGTTTTATTAAATTTGGTTCAAAATGTTTCGAGTTTCAGTGTTCTTTTTTTTGCCATACTCACAGTTGGTGTAACTCTTACACAATAAAAATTTTAGCTCCACGCATACAGACTCCTTTCGAAATTCACGTGCCGATTATTAGAAGGTCGGAACCACTGCACAATGGCGGAACAACAGCCTCAATGAACGTGCAAGTCATTCCATAAGATGGCGAACGTCGGAGCCGGGCCAACACACAAGGCGACGAGCCAATCAAACAGCGTCAAAAGTGCTACGTCACTGCGCTTATCACCTTTTTCTGTGGGTGTGTTTTTTTCCAGTGTGCCGCGACGTTGAGGTTTTAGTCCGCCATTGTGCAGAGATTTCACAGCTGCCAACAGAGGGCAGTATTTCGAAAGAGGTGTATTCGCGACTCCAGCGACCTATAGGGGGCGCCCCCACCAAACAAACATGGCGGCTGAGTCCAGGTCGCAGCGGCTCGGCCGGGCCGCCTGAACAGGCGGCGCGTTCAATTTAACAGATTTTCTTTTGTTTAATGCCCCATTTTATAGGTATTTGAACTGAGACGGTTAAGTGTAGCCGGTGCAGATAAACTTGCAAAGCATACTTTTGTTTTGCCGGTGTTTTTTTGTTCTTTTCGTGTCAAACTTTCGTTTCGGAGATTTCGTTCAAAACCGAAACTATGGGCTCCGGAGAGACGGTAATATACTAATCAGTTTGGATCATCTAAGGAAAGCGGCGATGACTATAGAATTGTTCCACAGAGAGTAACTTTACAGCTAACTCGCATGCCTCGACCATGCGACTTATCTGTCCGCGAAATCGAGCTTTTGTGCGTATCCGCGTTTACAAAACTGCTCCAATCTGCTCGGCCAACAACACAGGCTGCAGGAAAATTACGAAAATTAAGCAACCGCTTCTTGAGCCAAGGACCATGTTAACTCGCCGGCGGCCCACTAAGCAGCTGATACTCGTATTTCAATTCAGGTTTTAGTAGCAATCAAGAAGTCATTTTGACGAGCGGGTTATTACGTACTATGTCCCACTAAAGCGATATTAGTATATTCTTCGGGTTGAAATATGAGCTTAGTTGACTAGCTATAAGGTGAACTGCTGGATAAAAGTATAGTTGACAGACAGAGAGATACTACCTAAACTCAGCCATATAGTTCTAGCCGGCAGCACGAAGACAAACTGAAGAGAGTCTTCATCGGAAATTCACGCAGAACCTCTCTGCATTGAACTTTGCTTCGAATCCTGAGCGGAGAAAATGAGTATTTTTGTGACCGGTCAACCTGAGCATTGTAAACGGATATGGCTGTTGGCTTTGACGGGGGTATAATCTAAATATTGGGAGGCGCAATAGATCAAAATGCCGTGACAGCTTCTAACGTCGCGAAACTCGTCCCCCACCTTTTGAAAACAGATAATTTCCCTCATTAATCGTATGCAGCGAGCAGGTTTTCCCAAATGAAGTAACTGCGAAATCAGCCCAACTCCTTCAGTGTGGTCCAGAGGCTTTTTCGGCGAAAAGCAGCCAAGATGAATAGCCAACGCACAGACCGGCGTGGGTGGCTCAAACTTGAAGCCAACCGAACGCAACCAAACTCAAGAAAAACAGCTATCGAACCTTCCCATTCATTTGACTGCAGCATCGGTGTTTCCTCCAGTATCAGTTACCAAGCAGTCGTCACTTTGAATGTGATTCGAGACAGACAAGAAATCAAAAAGTTTTTTCCGTGATTCCTCCCCATCCAAGAAATTGAAAGCACGCGACCGTGTGCTGGGGAGTAAACGGGCTTTCAAACACGTAATAGAAGAAAACAATCTACTGAGGCTTTACCACGCTAACGAACATTCAGGCAAACTCAAGAACTATTCGGACCTTCGTCAAATTACATTGTTCGCCACCGCGCCGACAACACGTCTCCGCGAAAGCCATCAGAGACGCGGAGGGGCGCGGAGCGACCTGGACCGGCTGGTTCCCGGTTTTCCCGCTTGGCGGCGTCCGTTTTGCTGGAGTCGCGAATACCACTGAGAAATAAATGAGTGTTGGTTCAGGAAATTTTGCGAGTCGTCGATCTGCCCTCGTAGAACCGGCCTGGTGTGTTGGCTAGGAGAACTCTGAGCTTCTTCAGCCTCTAAGAAGACCGCTGTTACGGGGTTTGTGGGCGCAGGTGGTGCGGCGGTACTTCCCGGGCGGCCTGTTCAATCACGATCGGGGTGGCCGGCCCGTCTGGATCCTGCCCTTCGGAGACGGTGACTTCAAAGGTGCGACAGCAAATTTCTGCGTGGCGAGGCCACTCCAAAACCGTTTCATCAGCTGACAGGGCGAACACGGTCTCCTTCAGGAATGCTTCAGTGCGTGCCCCAGGAACAGCTTGTCGATGAGGTGGTGTACACGCTCGAGAGGATTCAAGAGGAGAAGCAGAAGCAGGTTGAAAAGGTTTGTTTGCTACAATGGTACTTCGTGACTGGTTCACGGGGCAGGTTCGCAAAGTGCCCTAATCGCTGACAGCCTAAAGAATGCAGGGTGTGGCCTAGAACCCTTCTTGCTTTCTCATTGGTCCATCGGTGTTCTTAGCGTTAAATGCCGCTATCTCACTGGCGGCGGAGCGGTAATGATTTCCACGGGCCTCCACACGTGACTACAGTGTCTCGGACTCTCTCTCTCTCTGTCTCACTCTCACTCTCTCTCTCTTTATATATATATCCTTCCCTGTGGTCGCGACGCGAAGCCACCTCCTCGCTATGGTGTACTAGAACTGATATATATCCTCGCCTCCCTCGTAAGATGGAGGGAAGTAGGGCGCACGTGTGTTTCGCGTCCTGGCCACTGGGGAGCAGGACCGCGGGCGCAGAGATGCGCTCCGGTGATAAACTGAAACCTAGAACTGCGTCCAAATTGAGCGTTTTTACGAAACGCCGTAAGATTCTGCTCTTGCATTTTATCTTTCTAAAAAGAGCTGACTTAGTGGCTTTTCATGACGCTGAGCAAGTTCCTAATTTGAAACATATGCCTATTTATGCCTATTAATTAGCCGACAGATCGTTACGATGAGCCCCCGCAAACCGCTTAAGTGTAGCTTTCACGGCTCTTTTTAAACAAATTTGTAAATCTAAAAAAAAACACCCTATACGTATCTATACTGATATATAGATATGTCAGGCTCTTTATAATAACCAAGAAGGAAGCTGAGAAGTCCGTCTTATTTTCGACATCGAAGAAATATATTTGCGACTAATTTTTCTCTTTCTTTTCAAACTCACGTAAAGAAAGAAAAAGGAGACATATTGGCAAAATAAATAGGTTGTGTCTACAGTGCCGCCCGACGGCATTCCACTCGCACCTGCAAGTGCCGCACTAAAAAGAGTCGAACGAGGCGTGTATCACCGGGGAACTCGTTAACACGCACCACCGCCTGCGTTCACGCCGCTTCGCGGCGACAGTATGCGGCTGGTAATTACAAAACTATTAACCCACTTGGCCCCGTCGTACACGCCGCTTCGCGGCGTCCAGCCGGCAACCCAAACCCCGCCGTCCCGCTTGCACCTCCGGAAAGGAAGTCCCATATCATTTCGTTCAGCGAAATTTCGTCGACAACATTAGTTTTTTTTTTTTTCAGTGTTAATCGTAAAAAAAAGAGATGTCGTAAATATCGCCAGATGCCTCGACAAAACAAAATGTTCGAGAAAAAAAAAAAAAGTAAGCCCGCACTGATTAAACCTGGGACAGCTTTCGTATGAGGCAGACATCCTACCACTAAGCTACGCTACCGTTTCGGCAATCTCGTTTTGACAATGCGTTTTATACAAGACTTTCGGACGGCACTTGAACGCTTTGCAAGAGTGCCGTTGGACGGTACTCTAGACACTACGAAATAAATAACATAGTGCCTAGAGTACCGTTTTAAGGCCCAAAAATGCAGATTCTGAGATAACATGTGTCTTTTATACAATGGTATATCCCTGAGATACTTCTGCAGAAACGGCGAAAAAGTATTCTGGAATACAGATACAGATACACATAGAAATACATTTGTTCCCGAACGGTGCCACGTTGGGAGGGCGCAATTCGTGGCGAATGCAAAAGGCAATTTATGCTTGCGCTCCTCTTTTTGTGTCATGTTATGCACTTTTTTTTTTTTTACCTCGAACTCTTCTTTTATTATTAATGCCGCTAAAAACATGTTACCCCCGGTGAACCACATACTTGCTGAACGGTAAAGACTGCGTGTCATGCTTGACAAAAGGCGTCTGCACGAAATGAACCCAGTTCTATCGTAAGGGTGTATCTCAAGCTGTCGTATTATATGCTTCTGTGTCGCCCACATGTGTGGGGAGACTGGACAACAGAGCCGTACCTTTTCTTCCCTGAACTCCATTACACATGGGCGTACCGACCGGGGGGGCAAGGGGGGCACTTGCCCCCCCAGCTCTCAGAGTGGGGGGGCAAGGCATGCGTTTTGCCCCCCCTGAAACGGCCGCCACTGGGCAGAGCAGACACAGGCCGGCGGCGCCCAAGGAATACCAAGGGCACTGCCCCCCGACCCGCGCGGGCATATTTTTAACGCGCAGGCGATACAAACCCTAGCAACGGTGCTCACGCACGCCGGATTGGCTGGTTCGTAAAGCCTTGCTCCACGAACAAGGCTACACGGTAACCTTACGGAATCCATCCGCGAGACATGGGCCGGACGGGCCGTCCAGACCAGGACGTAGGCCCTTACACAAAATAAAGTTTTGCTTGCTTGCTTGGAGATAGGCGCTGCTGCCGTCAACATAGGCAGCGGATGCAATGCGAGTTTCCGAAGAGGTAGCGTAACTTAATGGTGAGATGTCTGCCTCATACGTGTCAGACCCGGGATCTATTTATGATGTGGGCCGGCTTACTTCTTTTTATTTTTTTTCTCGAACATTTTGTTTTGTCGAGGCATTTGGCGATATTTACATTTCTTTTTTACCATCAACACTAAAAAAACGAATGTTGTTGACGAAACATCGCTAAACTAAATCGTATCGACTCTATTTACGGAAGTGCATGGGGGGCAGCGGGGCTTGGGTTGCCGACCGGACGCCGCAAAGCGGCGTGTACAGGGGGTGGGGGGGGGGGGGCTAGGTGGGTTAATAGATTTGTAATTAGCAGCCGCACACCGTCACCGCGAAGCGGCGTGAACGCAGGCGCGGGGGTGGGTTAACGCACTTCGAGTGATACACGAGCAGCCCATCCGGCGTGAGCGTCGTTGTTAGGGGTTCTATCGCCTGCACCGTAAAAGGAGCAGTGTGTGCACCTCCTGTAGTGGGCAAGAATTCCTACATTGGAGAGAAGCGGGGACAAGCCCTTTCTTCAAATGCGTCAAGTCTCCTTGAGCTTCGGAATACAAAGAAACGCCACTATTCGGAGCTAGTCCCACAGTTACTCGACCTCTCTTGCGTCGTGACTGTTCGCTCCCCGCGCCTCGTAGCAGTGTTGTTGCAGTGGGGGGGCTCGTTAAAATTTTGGGGTTTTTTGGACTATCTAAATCACTTTCTTCCTTCCCATCCCCCCCTTTTCTACTCCGCATGCTTCCCCCTCTGCAAATACCAGCTGACCTTCCGACCTCTGTTCTCTGTTGATAGGCAAAACAACCACTAAAATTAGAAAGTAATTTGTAATTTGAGTGGAAGTCACTCGGAAAAGTAGTTAAAGTAAACTACTGATTACTAGAATAGAAATGTAATTAAAAGTTACTAACTACCCAGAAAAGTAGTTAAACTACAGTAACTTGAGTAAAGTAGTTGAACTACGTACAAGTCTGGCCTGGCAAGCGCTCTGCGTAAGTGTTTTCACTGATCTGCCTAGCCCCGCACACCATCACATGGGCCAAGAAAGGTGTAGTTTTACTGCAGAGGAGAAATCAGCAGGGTCCAAGATGGTGACAATGGAGGATGGGGGACTGTTCCAGTGGCTGATGGCTTGAGAAAGGAATGACCAATTGAAAGCGTTCGTAGAGCCAGAAGTGTGTTTGATGGTGCAGACGTTGTTGAGGCGAGAAGATGTTCGGTCGAGGGGTGATAACAAAGTGGTTTTGAGGTCGGGAATGTGGTAGTAGATTTTGTGAATAAGGCACAGCTGAGAGACTTTCCTGCGAAGCTGCAAAGAGGACATGGTTAGTTCAGTTTTTAGCGCCGAGACACTGAAAGAAAAGTCATAAGTGGATGAATTGAAGCGAGCAGCTCTGTTCTGAACTGCCTCTACAGCGTATTGATGAGGTACAGTCGATGGGTATTCCAGATGGTTGAAGCATATTCTATTTTTGGTCTGACGTACGTGTTAAAGGTTAGCTTAGGGACAAAGGGTGGAGCGATTTTTTAAGTTACGTCTGCTTAGTCCAAGAGTTCCAGATGAATCTGCGGTAATGACTTCAATGTGGTTATTCCAGGGAAGGTCAGATGTTAGTCTTACACCAAGATATTTATACACAGTAGCGGTCTCAATCAGATCGGAGTCCAAGAAGTAATTAAATGACAGAGTGTTTTTTTTCTTTGTGAAGTGGATTAGTTTGCGTTTATACTTGTTTGGTGACATAATGCACTCTTTGCACCAATTGTTAATTTTATCTAGATCTTCCTGAAGCTGGTTATTATTTTGCACACAAGTTACTTTGTTATGGATGACGCAGTCGTCGGCGAAAAAGCGTTTTTTTGAAGAAATCCCAATGGGAATGTCATTAATAAATATTAAAAAGAGTAAGGGCCCAAGTACGAACCCCAGGGGAACACCAGGAGACACATTTATTAAGGAAGATTCATGATCATCATGGACGTGACCTGTACACGGGAGAAAAGAAAGTCACGAATCCATGCAAACGGTTATTGGTCGAGGCAAAAAGATGATAGCTTAGAAAGAAGGCGTTGATGGAAAACACGGCCGAACGCTTTGGAAAAAAAAAAAAAAAACTGCGTCAGTTTGGACGTGACATTCAAGGTTAGTGTGCAAGTCATGGATGAAGTCGCAGAGTTGCGTTTCGCAGGAAAGTACCTTTTGAAAACCGTGCTGCTGTTTAAAGAAAAGAAATGGGATGATAGGTGCCTCATGATATTGGAGTAGAGGATATGCTCAAGTAGTTTGCAAGAAATTGAAGTCAATGAATTAGGGCGATAATTAGATGCGGAAGAGCGGCTGCCCTGTTTAAAGACTGGGAATTACCCTTCCCACCTTTTGGTCAGATGGAAGGCAGCTTTGAGATGAGGACTGAATGAAGATGAGTTTCAAATACTCACTAGAAATAACACGGGTGTTTCTTTTAAATTTTAGGGTTGATGTTATCGGTTCCAGCGGACGAAGTAAGTTTTAGTTTATCAATCAATGTTTTAATACCAGCGGAGTTAACGTTAATAGGATGCATGCGCTCGTAAAGCTCTTCAGGGAGAGTGGGGACGAAGTCCAAGCACTCGTTAGTAAACACTGATGAAAAGTATTCGTTAAACACAGAACTATCATGCTCGATGTTGCTCATCCGACATTCCTAACTCTCCCCATCTTCCTAAACGTCCGTGTGTGTCCTAACACCAGAAACCGGAATTTTAAAGGTTAAAAACGGCACGTTGCGAATATGGAACGCTCACTTTCATGCAAAGCTGACGTCAAGTGACTCAAATCGAAAAACATGCATATTTACAGTATTGTTATCTCTTCTGGTGAAGGCTAAACACCATTGCATCCGTTTTCGCGCACGAAACGGTGACTCCCAGAGAAAGTAAGAACGCAGTGATTGTCTTTATTTTAACAATGTAAACACACTTGCAGGCGTGCGCTGATGAAGCCTCAAAATCAAAACTCTCGTAGTGTGATTCGTGACTGCTCCGGCTACTACCCAACCTCGTTGTCACGCCACTTTCTGCAAGCAAACACTAAAATTGCCAGTAAACACACAAAAGCGACATCGATACAATTATCTTGTAGAATATCACCTTATTTAATCATAACTGTTTCAATAGGCACTACAAGTTGTATTTATTTTAAGAAGAAGAAGCAAAATTTTTTCGTGAGAAAAAACAAAATATCAATGTTAAGTCTGGTAACGTTGTAATTTTGCCGAATCATTGCCACATCTTTAGAAAACTTCGACAAAAGTTGCGCCGAATTTTCGATTAAGGGGGGGGGGGAAGTGGGTCGGGTTTGCCCCCCCACTCAAAAACAAGTTGGTACGCCACTGCCATTACAGCGTTCGCTGTGCTAAACTGGAAAGAGTGAAGGGCTTGGCGAGAGGAGGTTATTGTGTTATTCTTGCAAGTAGCCTTCTTTAAACCACAGCTTTTTCGTTGTTGGTGACTTTGATGGATCATGTTAAAGGGCGGGTTCGTATAAATTCTGAAGCACCTTGCACCAAACAGATTCTTTTATTTCTTTAAATTTATCGCCAGAACGGCAAAGAAATGTAACGATATCCTCCAGTCTGGCAAAATATCGCTATACAAGCGATACATTGTTAATGTATGTCACTACTAAGATACAAATACATTTTTTTAATGTATCTCGATACAGATATACTGGAAAGTATCTCTAATATACCATCGCGATATATTTGTATCGCGATACTGCCCAGTCTTGCCTTGTATGAACCCCGTGGTTGATATGGCATGTCCTTAATTATGAACTGAACATTTGGTGGGTTCTGGCGCTCGCAATGGGCATCTTTACGGCATATAAATGTTTCAGATTGTGTAGTCCAATTATTACACGTCACAACTGTAGTATTTAGGTTGGTAGGTGAATGTGTATAAATCAATTACAGACACGACTGCACCCATCTGTTTCAAACTTCATTCTGACGCAGCAAAGTGGACATCGGGATGCTCCAACTGATTTACCAAGTGACTCGAACCAATCACATAACTGCTGCGGCTTGCAAACCAAGTAGGGCTATGATAGACGTTCTGAACCTTCCGAGTCTGTACACATTGTGCGATTACCATAAGGTCGCAAAAAGTTAAAATAACAAGGGCTCACTGTCTGCGCTTTCTAGCCACACGGATCTGGTCGCCGTACTTTTCTCCTCCGAGATTGTAGACTTACATCCTTGAATCCATCTTTTCGACAGTTGGGGCAGATCGAGGACTCAGTGACCATGGTGTTCGACTATGACCACCTTTCCCTCCGGCAAGTGTACAGCTTGCAAGGTACAACTTCTTGTATGCCAACAAATCATGCATAGCTGACGCTGAAAGAATTCTGGTGCGCAGTGATCAGCTATTTACGGGCTCTGATGGGGCTTTACGAGAACCACTACCCTGAGACTCTGCACCGAGCACTAATAATCAACGGTGAGTTTGAAGTTGGGTTTGCCGACAACGAGAGAGTGACGCGCACTTGCTCGGTTCGCAGTACCCAGCTTCTTTCCGCTCTTTTGGAGGCTCATCAGTCCCTTCCTGACGCAGAGAACGGTCAACAAGGTGCTCATATATGCCAGAGGTGAGTGCGCACTGTACTGTGGCTTAGAGTCCATCGCCGGCTTTCGTGTGCCCAGGGCTCCCTGCTACTATAAAGCCTACACGTTATCTGGGTTCGCTGCAACTCCAGCGACCAGGGCACCCAAGTGGCGGTGGGTTGCCTTGGCAGTTATGCGCCATACACCAAGTTGCGGTAGCCGGGGTTTTTCCGATTGACAAATTTCTATTCCTAAAAGGAAAGTTTATGCTCGTTTCGACTCGTTACTGGTCGGTGGCAAGTAACATAATCGACCTAAGTAGTCCTTGCTTTACCTCCATGCTGCATGACTGCAAAGGAAATTCTCTTGGGTGAAGATCCTGCAAAGCGGTCAATGTCTGTGTACACTCATGCACATTAACTAAACCACGGAACATCTTGCGCGTGACAAAGACTTTGAAAATAAATTTTCTGATATCATTGAACACGAAGATAAGATTACTGGGATTTTAAGGCCACTGATGGACAGGAAGGAAACATAGAAATTACGAAAATCAGCAGTCAACGCAGTAAGAAAAAGATTGAAAATCCCCGAAATAGAAGTCAAAGAATGAAGTCATGAAGTGTCGGTTCTTCACCCGGAAAAAAGAGATGCGACCTCAAAAGACTTCCATTGAGAAAGACGGTAACACCAGCAATGACACTATTTGGAAACTGTAAATCCGGGGTCGCACTGCTCATACATCATACAAAAGACAGTCTGCATGCAGATTCGAACGCGAGTAACGGCGAGATCTCTTCGTTGAATGCCGCGCACTGAGTTCAAGGAGAAACTTGGCACGCAGCATTCGAACCACGGATATTGCGCTGACTTGTGTTTGCAGACCGCCTTTTGTATGATCTATGAGCAGTGAATACAACGGCGATGAACAAGGCAGAGGAGCGCTCTACAGAAACCAGCAAGGATCGAGACACATGCATGCATCAGCTTACCCCGGCTCTCAAGTCTTGCCAATTCCTTAGTGTGACGAACTTAGGTTTAACTCTACGCAAGTATGGTTTGTGTTTCCCACAGAGGGCTGGCAATCGGCGCTTTTCGAGTGCGTGGACCCCAACCAGCTGCCAGCGTACTGGGGAGGAACGCTTCGCGGTGCAGACGGCGACCCCAAGTGCTCAGACACGGTGCGTCCTCATTTGATGTCTGCCGTCGTTGGCACGGGGGGCAACAACTTTCGTCATATTCAAATGCTCTCCCGGCAAAAACTAAAAAAAAAAAAAAAAATTGGAACGCTGCTTTGTGAATTGGTAACTTCAATAGACCGATATAACTAGCGAGCTTGACTACGCCACCGCTGGCGCGATGCATCGAGGGAACTTTAGTCTTTCTAAACGTGCGACAACCTCACCATGGTTCTGCGAGAGCGGAGCACGACACGGCACGAGCCGTCTGGTGCGCTGCCGCCAACAGTTGCTGCCGCCAACGTTGCTGACGCCTGCCTCCTGTTAAAGTGTTCTAGAAGTTGTAGTGGCAAGAACGGTGCCTGCGTGAAGGCGGTCGACGTAGATGGCCGCGAGGGGAACTTTTCTTGGCAATGCAGTGGAAGGTACAGGCCCGCGTCCCCTCTCCCATTTTGAGTGTACGCGGGCTCTCCTCCTCCCCCCGGAAATGGGGGAGGAGGAGAGCCTGCGTACACTCAAAATGGGAGAGGGGACGCGGGCTCCTCCTCCCCCCGGAAATGGGGGAGGAGGAGAGCCTGCGTACACTCAAAATGGGAGAGGGGACGCGGGCCTGTACCTTCCACTGCATTGCCAAGAAAAGTTGTCGCGGAGTATAGCAGAAATTGTGGCACATGTGTGATAAGCGAAGGAGAAGGCGAGGCTGAGGCGGTACCCTTCTCCCGAACGTAGCGCCGTTGCACTTTTCTTTGTGGTGTAGTGATGGGGAGTCCTCGCCGTTGCGTTGCCGTCTCGGTCATGAATGCAAGGAAAAAGACGGACACAGATTGCTTCGCGCCGGGATGCCAGTCGGGCTACCCAGTCAACAAGGGCAGCCGGAGCACCAGCGATCGTAAGCCGTCGCTGTTTCGTCCGCTAAAGGAGGAGTCGCGCAGATTACAGTGGGAACAAAATCTTAAACGAGGAGTTAAACGCCCCGCCAAGACAACAGTGGCGTGTGAGTGACGTTTTGAACCGCGCATTATCCTTCGAGACTATGTGCACATCGTCAATGGCGAAGAGGAGTAACAGTAAGTTTCCTGGAACGCGTCTCCGACTGGTGTGTTTACCGCGTCATATAAAACTGGTTCCTCCATTTCCACCTGACGACGTTATAGAAATGTAATGTTGTCGTCGGCCGCGATCCTGGCGGTGACAGACGCCTGTTTCGCTGCAGGCCAACCTCCAACTTGACAGTCTACGGAAGCTGCAGCAGCTAGGTGCTGGTACTCCGCGACGACAGCGACGGTCGTGTTCACTCATACTTTTGCCAAGTCGTTTAGCACGTCCAACCACCAGGATCTCAAAATCCAACAACATGACACACCGGCTTCTGTGATGTCGTTTGGTGCCACTTCTGCACCCCATTTGATGCCAGGGGGCAGAACAACACGCTAGAAACACCAGTCGAAGACGAGTTTCCGGCAGTATATATATATATATATATATATATATATATATATATATATATATATATATATATATATATATATATATATATATATATATATATATATATATATATATATATATATATATAGCGACATCGGGTTTTGCTGAAATCACCCCTTGCGTGCAAGGAACGCGGACGACGGTGATCAGGGAAAGGGCACTGCCTTTAGATTCGTCCCGGAGGCGAGGTCCCGAGCGAGCTGTACACGGTGCACAGCCCGGGTCTGTGGTCCGAGCCCGGTGCTAAGCGGTGCAGCCTGGCCCGGGGTGCCGTTCTAACGGTGCCCGTCGTCGTGGAGCGAGCAGGCGCCGTCCTCGACTGGCGCTTCCAGAGCAAGTCGCACGACCTGTGCTTCGGGCTGACGCTCCAGAACGGCGGCCAGTCGAGCAGCGAGCTACTGCCCGCGAGGAGGGTCAAGTGCAACCAGGTTCCCGAAAGCGGCCAGCTCGAGTGCCAGGAGCCGGGAACATGTGAGGGACTGTTCCCCTCTAGGCTGCTGTGGGTTTGTGTGTCGGGCTGCGTTACAGTTTGTGTTTCAGCCCAGAGTGTCTGGGAGGTTGAGCGTCCGGAAGTGTTTAAAAATGCATCGCTTCTTCCTTTCATGTTCTCGTTCCTGTTTTTGCAGTTGTATTAGGTACACAAAAAACAAAAAAATCCGCGTGGGAAATTTTTGGACTTTTGTAAAAGCTAATTCTACGTGTCGCAATTGTAGCGCAGTTGTTGGAAATCTAAGCCTGAGAGACTGGCGTGCCATCAACAATGGGGCAGCAAGTACTGTCCATGCGGCCGCCTGAAATACGATTTTGACCCATTCAAGATTTTAAACCTGCAAACGCTGTCTCAGTGACATGGCGTCAGCCCCGCAGTAGGCCTACGCTTGGTTGCGGACGTGGCTTGGTCGGTGAACAAAAGCTACAGAAATACAGAGGCCGCCACCCAAAGCTGGTTTAGTTATCTGCGTTTATCTCTAACCGACTGCTTTACTGCCGCTTATGAATGCTTACGACGAGATTGGAATGACAAGATAACACACTGGCGCCATCCATCGGGTAGCCCTGATCCCCTTCAGGTCTGGGTATATATATATATGTATATTTTTTTATATGCACGACTCATATAATATAGGGTTTAAAATGTCTCTGACTATGATGTAGTGACCATTTCTTGTAGGTAATACGACTGGCGTCTGTGCCGCAGGTTGACATTAGCAGTGCGACGCAAACACGGAGCAGAAGGATCGACATCACGAGCGTTCTTCGCGCGATTAACTTCGGTTTGAAGCCGCGTCCAAGGATGGTAATTCTCGGCCTGTAGCTCCCACTACAAATTTTTCAACGACAATTTTACGCCACAGCTAGATCATACTAAGGTGAAGCGTCGATTTTCCAACTAAGTACATTATGACTCGTAAAACTGACTTAAAACAAAATTAAAGATCCACTAAAATAAGAGGAAAAAAAAAAAACGCCCTGCACACAGGAGAGTTGGTAAGATTGAGCTTAGTCGATGTTTGTTTGCGCTACACAACGCAGCACGTTTTTAAATCGTTTTCTTTTCCTCTTTCAGACATCTTCAAGTTCGACAATAGGCACAGCTGGTTTACGAAGAAAGATTTCTGCTACATCGTCGGGGTCAAGGACCAGGAACCAACACCGAACGGCGGATCCTCGGAGGTCTCTCATTGAATGTGCGCGCACAGTGAGAGAAGTGGAGCCGGCGTGGACTGTCTCGTAGCCTACGAGCGTCCGGGACGAGAGACACCACTCGAGTGAGCCACGGATGACCGCGGGAGGAAAAGTGCGACAGGATCGTTTCTGCGAGTGCGGTGAACCTACAGCCGCCCGTCACACTGCTCGTGTACATCGTACAAACGACGCGGTGTTCGCTGGAGACACGATGACATTTGCACGCACGCCTCGCGCATGTTCGAAACAAGTCTGGTTTATACACATGTGTGCTCCGAACACGTCTGCGGAAAGTCTTAGTATCACTATGGTGCCTGGAACGCGTCTCCAACCGGCGTGTTTACCGCGTCCAAAAAGTGGTCCCTCGATTTCCTTCCGATGACGTAATAGAAGTGTCAATCTGTCGCCAGTTGCGACCCTGGCGGCGTCACGGCAACGTAGTGGTGGATGTGGCAGACGCCTGCCCTGCCGCAGGTCATTCTCCAGCTTGAAAGGCCGCGGAAGCTACGGCTGTCATAAGTTGGGACGCCGTGACGACAGCGACACTCGCGTTCGCTTGTGCTACTCGCAGCTTTTCTTCAGCATTTCTACGATCGACCGCCAGGATCGTGACATTTAGCAGGTTGACACTTCGGCTTCTGTGACTTCAGTTGTTGCCACTTCGGGCCACTTGATGTATGGGCAGCATAGGACGCTAAACACACCAGTCGAAGACGCGCTTCAAGCACCATAGTTTCACCGATGTGGCAGAACCATAACACCACACCTCCGACAGCATATGCAGATTTTTTGCACGATGCATTAGCAGTGTGATATCGACTCAATGGTGATATCCCTATGTATTTTAGATACGCATGCGCTAGTTGTACACGCATGACCGGGTCATTTGACTATCGCCACCGACAGGTTAAGAAAAGCAGGGCGGGACTGGTTAGGTTTGCGCTTCTTGCTCTGATTGGATCTTCGACGTTTTTTAACGACAGACGAGAACACTAAGTCTATTGTACGAAGCGAGAGGAGCAGCAAATAAAAACGTAACACGAGCTTTCCGCGAACTGTATTTATTTCCGAAGTTTCTTTACCCCTAACTAAAAAAACAGTGGGAAAGACTGGTAATGGCAGGCTATGGGGAAGAGTACATCAAAAGGCAGATTGCCCTACAGTGCAGGGAGAAAAAGGGGAAGACGCAAGAAATCAGGAATAGGTACGCTGTGGTTCCGTATTTTCACGAGCTGTCCCACAATCTTAGAGCATGTGCAAAAACATATGGCGCGGATGTCGTATCCCGCACGGATTTTAGGTTAGATAGAATGACACCTTTTGAAACGGTTCCGAGGGGCTGCCAGAAGGCGCATAGGGAAAAGTCGGTGCCGTGTAGCGTAGGCGTGGTGTATGAGGTTCCTTTGGCGTGTGGTTTTAAGTATCTAGGCCAAACCTCTCGGTGTTTGAACGATCGTTTAACAGAACACAAAAGGTATGTTAAAAATAATGCAGCAAATTCGGAGTTGGCTAAGCATCTGGAGGAGTGTAGAAACTGCACAACGGGTTGGTCTGGAACGGATGTAGTTGTTAAGGAAAGCAACGATGTTAAAAGGGTGGTAAGAGAAACAATTAGGATTAGATCGTTGGGAAATTGCATTAGTCAACCTTCCATGCAAATAGGGAACCGCTGAAAGCAATTTCTACAGTTTTAAGTTTTTTTTTTTTTTTTTAGTCATCCTGAAAGGCTTCTTTGGTGTGTATTGTCTGTGGTGTGTATTGGTGTGTATTGTCTGTTTTCTATAATTTTGGAGGTGACCGGTTTTGAGTGGGATGTTGTTTTGGGCTGTTGTCCTGTTTATTGTGAGGACACAAAAGAGTTGCTTGAAGTCCTTGTGAGGCATATCTTCTGCTAGAACCTTTTCACTTGGAAACGTTGGGAGTGTCCACTTCTTTTGTGATAGAGTGGAACCTGTAAAGTCACGGCGCAGAGGACAAGTCGTATGCGATTGGTTGATGACGACGAGAACAAACTATATAAGAGGAGGTTGTTGAAATAAACTTGTAGCTGAGTTTGAGACCTGTCTGTTTTTTCTGTTACTTCTGCTCTTCTAAAAAAAACCCCAGTCTCAGGGTAAACGACGAAATGGTTGACTTCCACCAGCTAGCTTGTACTTTGACTCTTTTCTCGTTAATTGCGTTTCCTTTTCTTGGGGAGTCTCTAACACATGCAGACACGTTACGCACACTACAAGTATGAGGTGAACATCTACTTAGCGCGTACACAGGCATCGCACATACAAACAACAATACACCAGCACACTACCCCGATCGCTACTCCCGAGCCCTGCGTTTCCATCTTTTATACTGGTCGTTTTGAAAGTACGGAATTTTTCGGTGACTCCCTAAGCAATAAAAAATATTCCGAACATGTTCATTTTTTTCCAGCAATGTCATACATCTGAGACTATTTTTAATGGCTCAGGGGATGAATCTCTTATTAAAAGGAAAACGCTCGATCATGCCGTAATTATTTGAAAGCCAATAAATCGGGCCGCTCCAATGTGGTTCCAAGCCATGAGTTTGTTTTCCCGCACGGTCCTTCGTAGCCAGTATTTATACTGTAGTGTTTGTTTTTCTTTTTGTGCTGTTCGCGCACAGCTGCAATTGCCGTCTTGAATTAATCTTTGTAGAGCGGATATTCACTCAGCTGGAAGTGATGCTTCACGGGCAGAGAAATCGCTTTTCGATCAACTTGAATGCAGTCAAAGCCGTGAATGCGGCAACTGTTAAGTGTACGGAGCTACGCTGTTGCGAGCTCGAAAACTTCTAGCGCTCATCCCAGCGCGCCACTTGGAGGGCAGTTTCTACTGGAACCGTAATATATTTAAACAGTAAAATAAAGGGTAGCGTTTTTTTTCTCGATTTTACCGTTTTTTTTTTTATGCTAAACTTCCATTGTAAATATACGTACTTTCCGTCATACTTTCGTATTGTTCAGTCTTTTCCCCAGAGCGCAATCGCTCTCGGGGACCGACAGTCACATTGGCCACTGTACGATAGGAGCTTACCGTTCAGACCAGCGTTCCAACATGACTATCCACACGTCGATCGACTGCACCTAATCCCTCAAGTGGTTTTAAACTCTTTAATGTAAGAGTAAAGCTATACGCACTCCGGAGTGCGCTTCGCGCGGAAATGGCTATACGCACTCCTCCGAGAGATCATGCCGCTCGGGCCACCCTTTTCGAACGGCGCGTGAATCACTGGGGCGCTCGTTAACACAGCCCCCCGCCTGCGTTCACGCCGCTTCGCGGCGACAGTATCGGCTGCTAATTACAAAGCGTAACCAGTACACGCCGCTTCGCGGCGTCCAGCCGGCAATCCAAGCTCCGCTGTCCCCGATCGCACCTCCGGAAAGGGAGTCCGATACCATTTAGTTCTGCGAAGTTTCTCGACAACATTCGATATTTTTTTTTTTTTTTTTACTGTTCATCGCAAAAAAGGAAATGTCGTAAATATCGCCAAATGCCTCGACAAAACAAAATGTTTTGAGAAAAAAAAAAAAAAAAAAGTAGGCCCACCGCGGATTGAAGCCGCGTCCACTTGCGTATGAAGCGGACGCCCTAACCCCTATGCCATGGCACCGCTTAGGAAACTCGTTGTGTCCACTCTTTTTATACGAGAAAAGCGGAGTGCGTATAGCCATTTCCGTCCGAAGCGCACTCCGGAGTGCGTATAGCTTTACTCTTAATGTAAAGCGGAATGTCATCCTGCGACACTTCGCTCCCTCCGATAACGGCCCGACCAGCGGCATCAATGCCCGACAGTTTACGTCATCTCATCTTGTTGTTACACCACTGATACGCGAACACACGGTCACATCGGCGATAATTCCGGTCTTCTGTTCACAACCCACAACACTGCCATCACAATGTCGCTGACACGCAGAAATACAGAACCCCGTTGACGATGTTGCTGACACGCAGAAATACAGAATCACGTTGAGCGTCGGTTGGCACTCGGCACGGGACAACAGAACCGAACTCAGCACGGAAGGCACCCAGGCAGCCGGCAGGAAAACCTGCCTGCCTCGGACGCAGTTCCCGCGATTTCCATAACGTCGAAAACGTCGACACAGTTCCTCGTGGTTTCGCTGCTGTAGTAGCTGTAGTAGCTGTAGTAGCTGTAGCGGCTGTAGCGGCTGTAGTTCCGCGTGTGTCCCGCAAATCGGAGACGGCCGTCTTACCCAGTGTATGTAGCGCTGCTGGCACTGCTCCGGAACTTCGCTGTTTCTCGCGGCTTCGTTAGCTCGTTTGATAAAATTAGTGGTAAAAACGTCAATGCAACCGAAATATTCTGCACGTTTGGACTAGAAGACGGAATTACATGCGGCCTTCGCTGCTGCTGAAGCTCAATCAACTCAACATCAATTTATTAAACAACGTGCGCGATGTGCTCGAAAAACGAAACCGAAAGATGAGTCGGGAGGGCGAAAGCTTTCTCCGGTCTGCCTGGAGAAGGAGGAAAACGTCTCGGTGAATAATAAGACTTTATTTTTCCTGTCATCGGTCTGGGTTTGTTTATGTGTGTTTTGGTAGCGCGATGTTTTACCCCTGCGCCAACTGAACAAGGAGGAACTCGCCCTCCTCCTTTCATCTGAACTGCCGTTCCTCCCTTCTCTGGGCAACTTGTCCGCAACGAGGAGGAACAGTCGCTGTTGCTACCTTTCTCCTCTTTTTTTTCTTAGAGTGTAGGGGGGGCGGATGTGCTACTCATGAGTGAATGTTTTTCGCCGGGAGATGTAAGTTTGAGTTCGGAATTAAAACGAATAGACCGATCTCAGCAAGCGTTCCACGCATGCGTGACGCCGCCATAACTGTAGTTCGTAGGAGGCAGACGCCAGTTCACGAGAGAGCACATGCTGCCTCGTGGTGTGCTCGCGCAAACCTCCAGCAGGGTTGTCGCGCGTGCAGAAAGACTACAGCTCCCACATTGCACATCGGCAGCGGTGGCGTACTCAAACTAGCTGGTGAGATCGGTCTATTGGCGCTTACGTACCACGCGAGGGTTGTGGTTGCTTCCTCCGTAAAAATGCAGGCGACAATAGTTGAGGCTTGTGTTTGATCGTGGTTAGATCACTTTGCGTCTGCTACTCATTGCATAGTAGAGAAATCCTCTCTTCAAATTTGTTTCGAGATGGCACGAAGGCCCGTCTAGAAACCGAGAAACTCTGAACGGCACCTTGTTTTTAAAGCTATTGGAGAAAAATCGAGTTTCCCATTTTTACGGAGTGCCAACAACTACTGATATGTAAACGCGCGAAACGCGAGCCAAGCGAGTGCTAGATAAATCAACGCGGCGCCTTGATGGCTCCTTCCAGTGCTGCGCAGCAATTTCCTTCCGACGTCCTCATGGGGCACGCGTTTTAGTACATTGGCCCATCTGCCCTGCTTCTGTTGTTTCTGGCACGTTTCTGGTATGAAAACACTTGTTCGCGTTCCATGGATTCACGAACGACCTTGGCATGCTTTGAAGCGGGATTTCGTGAGAGCGCTCGTGGTGTGCACGCGCGTTCTCTGCCCTAAACAGCAGTTTAAATTTACTATTTTTCGTCGAAAGAGCCTCCGTAAAAAAATTCAGCTCACAGCTGAGCGCTGCTACCCCCCTCCCCCCTTCATTTTGGAATGGTACGGCCAAATACTTTACCTGAACGAATACATTCCACTCCTCTCAAACACAATAGCCTGGGCGCGGACAGGATTTCTGGGCTCGGCGAGAGCCATCTATCGTCGAGGAGGTCTCGGCAATCGGGCGGTAAATGATGATGATGACGATGGTTGTTCTACTTACCAAATTCATTGTTGTGGAAATGCTTGGGACACGTGCCGCGCGCCACTTCTAGGAGGAACATGGCGTCTAAAATCTAGCTCAATGCTGCGCCAAATACTTTGCTGCCCTGTGCCGCCATGATCTTCCCAAGGGTTGCACGTGTCTCGTGCATCGACGCACCTTGCGCTACTTCTGAAACACAGAGGGGTTTACACCGCCGCAACCGCCGCGAAC